AAGATCTGGCATATAGATCTTTTTTAAACATTGTCTGACAAATTTTTAAAGAACACTTATAACTTACAACCTTCAAGAAAGTTGTATGTAAGAAAAAAGGATTCTAGGACTTAAAATTTTCCTTCTCCAAATCGTGCTTTACAAAAAGCTTTTTTTCAACGTTGATTTGGGCAAAATATAGCAATAACTTTGATCGGTTCACATTTGTATGTTTCAAAATTTTTGCAGGGAACATTTGAGAGAAACCTTTTTCTAGGAAAATATGTACAAATAACGAAAAGGCGTGTTCTGATAAATCGGGATCATAGTTCTTTTTTTCTAAATCGCAATAAACTAAGTTTTTTCACCTTTCAATTCAACACTGACATCATCATTTTTTTTTCAGAACCAAATTCTACATCCGTTGACATTATAATACATTTTTCATAGAATAAGTCGAGCTTTTATCACCATGATTTTTCAATATGTACTATAAATTAACGATATATGCCTATTCATAGTTGTTTTCTCTTGAACAAGAGCTGCGTGAATCTTAAAAAGATTATCAAAGATTAGACGGCAAGGTTTTCTAATTATATCCTGAAAAAACATATCGTGACTCAGGAGCAAATTCTTTTAAAATGTGTTGGTAGAATCCCTTTTTTTTAAATTCCTAACGAAACAATATAACCTTCTCACTATCGAATTACCAGTCGTAACTCGTTCAGATAACAATATTTCATCTCACTTGTTGATTTTACTTCACTTATCCGCATCTTAAATTTAGAAAGATCCTCATCTTCTTGCTCATCAGATTCCTCTGAATCTTCTATGGCTATTGTTGTGGTCGCGTCAATGATTAGTGCATCTTTTTTACTAAATAATTTCTTTAAAATGTTGTTGAGACGATGAGCAAAGCAAAATATTGGTTTATAATCACAAAATCCTTTTACGAAGTTTGAACCACGATCGGATACCCAATTAACAGCTTGTAAATGGCGTATACCAAAATCAACAACGATTTCTTTAAGCGCCTACAAAACATAAAAAGGAGTTTAAAAAATATTAAAAAAGATGAAACTTACTATGACAGTTGATTCAGCAGTTTTATCTGGTTGTAAATATGGCCGATAAAAACTTTCGAGTGAACGATAATGAAAATTCCGATCAATAAATGATGCGGTACCTCCTAAGTGTGATAGATTGCGATAACGATCGATCCACATATGTGGGCAAATTGTGATTGATTTGACCATTATTGGTTCTACATTGAAGAGACAATTTCAGGCAGTGTCATTTTGGATATCCGAAGGGAGACATTTTCAGGGGAGATCATTCCAATAGAAAAAACAATGAACAATTCTCTCACTAGCAACATTATTGAGTAACTGATGAGCGAGTTGTATGCACAATGGTTCAGAACCTTGTTGGACCTATTACACCTTTGCTAGACCCAATTTAAAAATGTTTCTTCCCGTGTGGCTAGATATTCGATGTCTGCCCCTTTTTTGAATGCGGTTGTCAAGTACAATGATGCACGCAGGGCTCAAAATCAGCGGTATA